TTTTCACTCAAGAATAACGTTAAAATTTATGCTACATAACTAAAAGTAATATATATTATTTTATTTTATTGAAAAAGAAAGTATTTTTCTACATCATGAAAAGAAATTACTCATTTTGTTAAAGTGAAAGAAAATAATTTTTACTAAATTATTTTGTTGAAATAAAAGAAAAATACTTTTTTCAAAATCATGAAAAAGAAAGTATTTTTTTTTTTTGTTAAAATGAAGCAAATACCTTTTTTATATCATTAAAAAAAATATTCATTTTGTTGAAATGGAAAAACAAGTATTCTATCTACCACATGAAAAGAATATATTCTTAATAATAATTCTATTCAGGGTGGGGTAGGGTAGGGCAGGGATTTGATAGGGTGGGTGGGGTAAGGTAGGGGTGGGCTCGGTGGGTTAGGGGTAGGGTGGGATAGGTATGGGAAGGGGGGAGGGGTGGTTGGTGGGGATGGAGAATAGGGTGGGAAGGTTGAAGAAGAGTTTTGGAAAATATTTTCCCTTCTCTTGATGGGAAAACGTTTTCCTCTAATTTTAGGAAAATGAGTTCATAGAAAAATTAGAAAATATTTTCCGAAATTTTTTTTCCTTCGTACCAAACACACCCACAGAGTAGTACTTGACTGCCTATTTTTTGACATGAGAAACAACGGAAGGACCACTTCAAGCGACACTCTATAAATACCTTAAGAGAACAAAAGATGAATTAATGCACCATATATTCAAATATAGCACAAGAATTAAGAATGTCTTCGAGTGACTCAAAGCTTCCTTTACGAGACATCCCAGGTGATTATGGGTTGCCCTTTTTTGGGGCAATTAAGGATCGATTCGACTTCCATTACAATCAAGGTACTGATGGCTTCTTCAGGTCTCGCATGCAAAGTTACCAATCCACTGTCTATAGAGCCAACGTGCCTCCTGGTCCTTTCAACGCTCCTAAATCTAAAGCCATTGTCCTTGTTGACGCTGTTAGTTTCCCCATTCTTTTCGACAATTCTAAAGTCGATAAGACGAACTACTTTGATGGCACATTTATGCCTTCCACTGATTTCACTGGCGGTTACCGTTTGTGCCCTTTTCTTGACACTTCTGAGCCCAAACATGCCACACTAAAAGAACTTTTCTTGTCCACACTAGCAAACCTGCACAACAGATTCATACCCTTGTTTCTTAGCTCAATGTCTGAGCTATTTACCCATCTTGAACATGAATTGTCAGATAAAGGACAAGCATACTTCAATACCCTCAGTGATGACATGGCATTTGACTTCCTCTTTCGTTTGTTTTGTGAGAAAAGTCCTTCTGAAACAAGTCTGAGATCTGATGGGCCCACCATTCTAAACAAATGGGTGTTCTTTCAGTTAGCTCCATTGATTTCTCTAGGCCTCAAACATGTACCCAACTTCATAGAAGATTTGGTTTTGCACACTTTCCCTCTACCGTTTTTCCCTTTAAAATCTGATTATAAAAAAATATTTGATGTCTTTTACAAATCCATGGGGTCTATTCTAGATGAAGCTGAGAAGCTTGGACTGAAAAGAGATGAAGCATGTCATAACTTTATTTTTTTAGCAGGGTTCAATTCTTATGGTGGCATGAAAGTTTTCTTCCCAGCTTTGATCAGGTGGGTTGGAGCAGCAGGAGAGAGTTTACACCGTCGTCTCACAGATGAAATCAGGACCGCTGTTAAAGAAGAAGGTGGGGTTACCTTTTCAGCATTGAATAGGATGAGTCTGACCAAGTCTGTGGTGTATGAGACACTAAGAATAGACCCCCCAGTTCCGTTTCAAACTGCAAAGGCCAGAGAAGATGTCATCATCCATAGCCATGATTCATCATTCTTGATCAAGAAAGATGAAATAATATTTGGATATCAGCCATTGGCCACCAAGGACCCTAAGATATTTGAGAACCCTGAGGAGTTTATTGCAGATAGATTTGTGGGAGATAAAGAGGAATTGATAAAGTATGTGTACTGGTCAAATGGTAAGGAGTCAGATGATCCAACAGTGGATGATAAACAATGTCCTGGTAAGGACCTGGTGGTGCTCTTGGGAAGGTTAATGTTGGTAGAGTTTTTCCTGCGCTATGATACTTTTGAGATCGAATTTGGAAAGCTGCTGCTGGGTTCCAAGGTGACTTTCAAGTCAGTAACCAAGGCGACATCATAAATTATCTTTTGCTTTATGCCGGATATATATGGAAAATTCTTATCCAAACACGAAGGTATGTAAGCAAGACGATCAGTTGTTGTGACTTCATGTTAAATCGATTTATTAATGTTTTAATGTTATAATGTTATAATTAAGCATATTTACTTTAACAATTATAGTTGTTGATGTCATTTTAAGTTGGTATGTAAGAGATAAAATCAAGTCAATTTGATTAATACGTTTGAAATGTGAGAATAATAAACTTGTTTTTCATTTGTTTACATTTGTCTACATTAGTTCATAAACTGTCACGATCCAAAATCTAACTAGTCGTGATGGCACCTAACCTAACCCGCTAGGTAAGTCAATTAACAACTATCCAATTCTAATGAAATTAATAAGGCAATTAAATCAAAGAAAATATCTAAATCTTATACTTTCCCCAAGAACTGGTAGTACAAATCATGAACTTCTAAGATTAGAATTTACAAAGCTTGTGCGAAAATAAAAATACATCATCTGTCCGAATAATACATAAACATATTTTTATTTATTAATCTAAGGTTACCTTGAAAAAGAGGCAGCTACAGCCGGAACGCAGGTATATCTTCAAATCCAGCTGCCATCGAACACAGTAACATCAACAGCCAACATCTGCACGCAAGGTGTGCAGAAGTGTAGTATGAGTACAACCGATCCAATGTACTCAATAAGTAACAAACCTAACCTTAGGTTGAAAGCAGTGACAAGCTGGAACAAAGGTCGGATCCAACACCAATAGCCAACAACAGTTCATGACAACATAAAGCAAGTAATAAAAGAAGTAACTCAGAGATAAAATGTTCAGCTTAATCATGGTTCCCGAAAATATTTTCGCTTTTCAAGTATATCAATGAAAACCCAAGTCTTTTACCGAAATTACCAAAGATATGAGTAAGTTTGAAACTGTAATTTTTCCTAAAAAGCTTTCCCTAGGTAAATGTTCATTTTCAAGTGGCATGAGGAAAATACATCTCTATGCCTATATGTCAATATGTGTGAGAAGTCATAAATGCAATGTATCTCAGAGATGAACTCATGTACTCATACTCTCAGAGTACTCAATCTTACTTTCTCACACTTTCCACTCACTATGCATAATACTCAGCACATGCAGTCACTCAACACTATATAATGCCTGTTGCAGCGTGCAATTCGATCCACACATAACCATAAGGCCCGTTTCAGCGTGCAACCCGATCCACATATAGATAGCCATAAGACCCGTTGCGGCGTACAACCCGATCCACATATATAGCCATAAGGCCCATTGCGGTGTACAACCCGATCCATATATATATATGCTCACTGGGGGTGTGTACAGACTCCGGAGGAGCTCCTTCATCCCAAGTGCTATAACAAGCTAATCATGGCATAAATTAGTAAAACATGCCCTTTACTAGCATATGCATCACATCAACACCAAACACAAAACACGTAATTCGGAATTTCATACTCTCAGCACCATGTTAGAAGTGTTACTTACCTCGAAAAAGCTAATTCCAATACCGAGCAAGCCATGTGATGCTCTAAAAATGCCATCTCGCGCGTACCGGCCTCCGAAATGCTCAAAACTAGCCAAAAGCAACTCAAATAAATCAAACGATGCCCAAGGAAACAATTGCAAATGACAAAGGTTGAATCCGTTATAAAAAGCCAAAAATGGGCCAAAAAGTCAAAATCCAGGCCCGCACCTCAGAACCCGATGAAACTCACAAAATTCGACAACCCATTCAATTACGAGTTCAATCATACTAGTTTCACTCAAATCCGACTCCAAATCGATGTTCAAAACTCAAAAATTCATATTATGAAACTTTAGACAAAAACCCCCAATTTCTCTTTTGTAACCCTGAATCAAATGCCGAAAATGAAGATAGATACATGATATAAAATAAAAACTGAGTAGACAACACTTACCCCAGTCCACATGGTGAAAATTGCTTCAAGAATCGCCTCAATCCGAGCTCCATAGCATCCATATTGTATGAATGGTCGTAACCCTTGAAATAGAGTATGTTATACTTCTGCCCAGGCATCCTTATACGAGAACGCGGGGAAATCCTTCTCGTTCGCGATGAATAAAAATATACTGCCACCAAAAAGGGTCTGTGCGAACATGGCAACACATCTACGAACGCGAAGCTTACCTGACCTGACCATACGCGAACGCGTGCACAAATACGCGATCGCGTTGGCTTAAAGCCTGATGCCCCAACAGACCACTCCTCTATGCGAACGCGTGATCCTTCTCGTGTTCGCGATGACCTAATACCTCAAAGCTTCCCGAACGCAGGCCTTATTACGCGAACGCAAAGAATAAATCACCACCTGCCATCAATAACTCTTCGCAATCCGAAAGAGGAAACCAGATACATAGACGCCAGAAACTTCATCACATCTCTAATTCCAAAAACTGGTCCGTCAACCATCCGAAGCTCAACCGAGGCCACCGGGACCTCCACCAAACATACCAACAAGTCCCGAAACCTAACACGGACCAACTCAAGGCCTCAAATCACACATAGCAATAACAAAACGACGAATCGCACCTCAAATCAAACTTGATGAACTTGAACTTTTCCAACTTCCATAACTCGTACCGAAATATAGCAAATCAACCCGGAATGAACCCAAATTTTGCACACAATCCCAACTTTCGGCCATATATCAAAAAGACTACTCCTCGTCAAACATTTCAAAAAGCCAACTTTCGGCCAAATTCAACTACAGACCTCCAAATCACAATCTGGACGCGCTCCTAAGTCCAAAATCACCCAATGGAGCTAACGGAACCATCAAAACTCCAATCTGAGGTCAAATACTAAAAAGTCTAACTTGGTCAATTCTTCCAATTTAAAGCTTCCTAGTTGAGAATCATTCTTCCAAATCAATTCCGAATAACCTAAAAACCAAAACTGACGATTCACACAAGTCATAATACATCATGTAGAGCTACTCATGCCCATAAACTACCAAGCGAAGTGCACATGCTCAAAACGACCATTCGAGTCGTTACATCCTCCCCTATTAAACATACATTCATCCTCGAACGTGCCTAGAGTTGTTCTTAAGCAATCAAATCATCGGGTAACCTTACTGCGCACATACCCGGGGGTCATCCCACGTCACCCTGTTCCATATAGGCCCGACAAAACAACATAACTGAAGATCATCAATTCAACCTTAGCCCATAAACCTTGGAATCCAATTTTTCCAACATCCGAAATTTCCTACAAGGCCAAACCTCGCAATCTACACACTGTATAAGTCTGAACAAGCTGTATCAAGCCATAAACTTAACCCAAGATGCATTCACATGATATATCACGTAACTCAAATACCCATAACAAGATTTCCAATCACGATAGCAGCTCAAAAATAAATCGGTATTGGTAATAAACCTCATATCAAACAAAACCTCGTTCTAAAACATTCAACACAATCGATGATGAAAGAAACACGCAGAAACTCGTAACGACTTATCAGACCAACAAGTCATGAAACTCTCGCTCCTTCGAGAAGAACTATAGCCAATTTCTAAGCCAACTTCCGATATTATCCTCCATATATGCTATAATAAAATTTGATAGTATCAATTCTAGGTCTAATGACCTCAACTCATCCAATACAACCACTCTAGTGACATGCCACATCAATACAACCTAAAGCCACAACCCGTGCAATATGTGGACCAATAAGCAACAATCCAAATGTACTCAATCATTAAAACTGACTCAAACGAGAGAACCATCCCGCAAGTTCAACAAGTACCACCATAACCGAAATGCTACAAACCCATCATACCTAGTTGAACCAACACACACAAATCTAACACAAAGAATCATATATTAATAAAACTCTGTCGCAATGAGTGACCCCATCAAAACAATAGTCCATATGAAATACCTCAGCCACCATGCTCAAAATTAACAACCACGTGCAATTCGACATCAAGTACCCAAGGTGAATGACCATAATCACGGGAGACAAATAAGACAATACCACAATTCGGGATGAACATAACCAACGAATCACAACCATTCGTAGCATGGAAAAGTAATACGTAGAAAATATCAGAAGATGAATAAGCTCAACTCTAACCGAATGGCACAACCCTCAACAATAGCAGTACGAGGCCAACCAATTCGACCGGTGCAGAACACACATCCTCATTGGGCCTACCAATGGACCCCAAATTAACTCTGGTCACCCACCAATAGACAAATAACCCTCCGAAAGTCCACAATGACTGAATCATAACACATACTACCATCTGCCTAGCTCTAGCCACATCTTCACAGCCCACAACCATGAAACAATCTGCTTTTGAGAATTCTCGGTCTCCATATCCATTAAATACACGAATCACCATATCTGATCCCAACTCCACCGCCTGAATGTGTAACACATCTCTCACACACGATCATCCCACGAGGAATACTCCTATAATCCTTCCGTTCCACATAGCAAAAATCTGAATATCAACAGTCGATCAACCAGGCGAGCACCGCAACACCAATGAAGCGTCTGTAACTCAGAACACAATGCGCCTTCTAAAATGCGAACCCTTCTTAGGAAATACCAAGCAGTAATATCATTCACCTAGTCATCTGAAACTGCCCATGCTGCCTAAGAATTTATGTCCTCCCCTTCAAAACTGACCCGTGACCTTGCACATGCAACTCTCGATCCCACACAGCACACCACATCTATCATGCCATCGTATAAAAAGTACGAGAATCTCATAATACACTCCAAGTCACAAGAAAACTACATACTTAATTAGCCAGGAACCTTCCATTTGATCTCCTCCAGGAGAAAATCATAATACGTAGCATGCTCTTCACGCTAATAGGAAATATACACCACGAACCATGGTAGAAACCATTGAGGACATCTTGAAACCCTTTTGCACATAACCAAGTCATCTTAAATGAATCCCCCTAACTCAACTAAGCCACGCAGGTTGCCAAAACCTAAGAGCATTCCAACGAAACACCTGTAGAGACTTGCCACCTCGTATGTACCCAAAGAACCAATTACACTCATTACTATGCTAATCCAACCTATTGTCAAGTTGTCCTATTTCTGCGAGTTCCTTCCGATTATCCTTAACCAAAACTCACCCCACAAACTCTAGCATATAACCATACCGCCCTAAGGCCCATAAGCCACTAAATTCCCTGTTAAGTACCCCAAAAGTACCACAACCGAGATACCTACTCTGAAGAGACCTTCT